ACCATCACCACCTCCTTTACCATCACCACCTCCCTACCATCACCACCTCTTGTACCATCATCACCTCCTCTACCATCATCACCTTCTCTACCATTACCACCTCCTCTACCATCATCACCTCCTTTACCATCATCACCTCCTTTACCATCATCACCTCCTCTACCATTACCACCTCCTTTACCATCATCACCTTCTCTACCATCACCACCTCCTTTACCATCACCACCTCTTGTACTATCACCTCTTCTTCTACCATCATCACCTCCTCTACCATCACCACCTCTTGTACCATCATCACCTCCTCTACCATCACCACCTCCTTTACCAGCATCACCTCCTCTACCATCACCACCTCCTCTACCATCACCACCTCCTCTACCATCATCACCTCCTCTACCATCACCACCTCCTCTACCATCATCACCTCTACCATCATCACCTCCTTTACCATCATCACCTCCTCTACCATCATCACCTCCTCTACCATCACCACCTCCTCTACCATCATCACCTCCTCTACCATCACCACCTCCTTTACCATCATCACCTCCTTTACCATCACCACCTCCTCTACCATCATCACCTTTTCTACCATCACCACCTCCTCTACCATCATCACCTCCTCTACCATCATCACCTCCTTTACCATCATCACCTCCTTTACCATCACCACCTCCTCTACCATCATCACCTCCTCTACCACCACCACCTCCTCTACCATCATCACCTCCTCTACCATCACCACCTCCTTTACCATCATCACCTCCTCTACCATCATCACCTCCTTTACCATCATCACCTCCTTTACCATCACCACCTCCTCTACCATCATCACCTCCTTTACCATCATCACCTCCTTTACCATCACCACCTCCTCTACCATCATCACCTCCTCTACCATCATCACCTCTTGTACCATCACCACCCTCCTTTACCATCATCACCTCCTCTACCATCATCACCTCCTTTACCATCATCACCTCCTTTACCATCACCACCTCCTTTACCATCATCACCTCCTTTACCATCATCACCTCCTCTACCATCATCACCTCCTCTACCATCATCACCTCCTTTACCATCACCACCTCCTCTACCATTACCACCTCCTTTACCATCATCACCTTCTCTACCATCACCACCTCCTTTACCATCACCACCTCTTGTACTATCACCTCCTCTTCTACCATCACCACCTCCTCTACCATCATCACCTCCTCTACCATCATCACCTCCTCTACCATCACCACCTCCTCTACCATCACCACCTCCTCTACCATCATCACCTCCTCTACCATCACCACCTCCTTTACCATCATCACCTCCTCTACCATCACCACCTCCTCTACCATCACCACCATCTCTAACATCATCACCTCCTCTACCATCACCACCTCCTTTACCATCACCACCTCTTGTACCATCATCACCTCCTCTACCATCATCACCCTCTCTACCATTACCACCTCCTCTACCATCATCACCTCCTTTACCATCATCACCTCCTTTACCATCATCACCTCCTCTACCATTACCACCTCCTTTACCATCATCACCTTATCTACCATCACCACCTCCTTTACCATCACCACCTCTTGTACTATCACCTCTTCTTCTACCATCATCACCTCCTCTACCATCACCACCTCTTGTACCATCATCACCTCCTCTACCATCACCACCTCCTCTACCATCATCACCTCCTCTACCATCACCACCTCCTCTACCATCATCACCTCCTCTACCATCATCACCTCCTCTACCATCACCACCTCCTCTACCATCATCACCTTCTCTACCATCACCACCTCCTCTACCATCATCACCTCCTCTACCATCACCACCTCCTCTACCATCACCACCTCCTCTACCATCATCACCTCCTCTACCATCACCACCTCCTCTACCATCATCACCTCTTGTACCATCATCACCTCCTCTACCATCATCACCTCCTCTACCATCACCACCTCCTCTACCATCACCACCTCCTCTACCATCACCACCTCCTCTACCATCACCACCTCCTCTACCATCATCACCTCCTTTACCATCACCACCTCCTCTACCATCACCACCTCCTCTACCATCATCACCTTCTCTACCATCACCACCTCCTTTACCATCATCACCTCTTGTACCATCATCACCTCCTCTACCATCATCACCTCCTTTACCATCATCACCTCCTTTACCATCATCACCTCCTCTACCATTACCACCTCCTTTACCATCATCACCTTCTCTACCATCACCACCTCCTTTACCATCACCACCTCTTGTACTATCACCTCTTCTTCTACCATCATCACCTCCTCTACCATCACCACCTCTTGTACCATCATCACCTCCTCTACCATCACCACCTCCTTTACCATCATCACCTCCTCTACCATCACCACCTCCTCTACTATCACCACCTCCTCTACCATCATCACCTCCTCTACCATCACCACCTCCTCTACCATCATCACCTCCTCTACCATCACCACCTCCTCTACCATCATCACCTCCTCTACCATCACCACCTCCTCTACCATCATCACCTCCTCTACCATCACCACCTCCTCTACCATCATCACCTCCTCTACCATCACCACCTCCTCTACCATCACCACCTCCTCTACCATCATCACCTTCTCTACCATCACCACTTCCTCTACCATCACCACCTCCTCTACCATCACCACCTCTTGTACCATCATCACCTCCTCTACCATCACCACCTCCTTTACCATCATCACCTCCTCTACCATCACCACCTCCTCTACTATCACCACCTCCTCTACCATCATCACCTCCTCTACCATCACCACCTCCTCTACCATCATCACCTCCTCTACCATCACCACCTCCTCTACCATCATCACCTCCTCTACCATCATCACCTCCTCTACCATCACCACCTCCTCTACCATCACCACCTCCTCTACCATCACCACCTCCTTTACCATCACCACCTCCTCTACCATCACCACCTCCTCTACCATCACCACCTCCTCTACCATCACCACCTCCTCTACCATCACCACCTCCTCTACCATCATCACCTCCTCTACCATCACCACCTCCTCTACCATCACCACCTCCTCTACCATCATCACCTCCTCTACCATCACCACCTCCTCTACCATCATCACCTCCTTTACCATCATCACCTCCTCTACCATCATCACCTCCTCTACCATCACCACCTCCTTTACCATCATCACCTCCTTACCATCATCACCTCCTCTACCATCATCACCTCTTGTACCATCATCACCTCCTCTACCATCATCACCTCCTCTACCATCACACCCTCTCTACCATCACCACCTCCTCTACCATCACCACCTCCTCTACCATCACCACCTCCTTTACCATCACCACCTCCTTTACCATCACCACCTCCTCTACCATCACCACCTCCTCTACCATCACCACCTCCTCTACCATCATCACCTCCTCTACCATCATCACCTCCTCTACCATCATCACCTCCTCTACCATCATCACCTCCTCTACCATCATCACCTCCTCTACCATCACCTCCTCTACATCATCACCTCCTTTACCATCATCACCTCTTGTACCATCATCACCTCCTCTGCCATCACCACCTCCTCTACCATCACCACCTCCTTTACCATCATCACCTCCTTTACCATCATCACCTCCTTTACCATCATCACCTCCTCTACCATCATCACCTCTTGTACCATCATCACCTCCTCTACCATCACCACCTCCTCTACCATTACCACCTCCTTTACCATCATCACCTTCTCTACCATCACCACCTCCTTTACCATCACCACCTCCTTTACCATCACCACCTCCTTTAACATCATCACCTTCTCTACCATCACCACCTCCTTTACCATCATCACCTCCTCTACCATTACCACCTCCTTTACCATCATCACCTTCTCTACCATCACCACCTCCTTTACCATCACCACCTCTTGTACTATCACCTCCTCTTCTACCATCATCACCTCCTCTACCATCATCACCTCTTGTACCATCATCACCTCCTCTACCATCACCACCTCCTCTACCATTACCACCTCCTTTACCATCATCACCTTCTCTACCATCACCACCTCCTTTACCATCACCACCTCCTTTACCATCACCACCTCCTTTAACATCATCACCTTCTCTAACATCACCACCTCCTTTACCATCATCACCTCCTCTACCATCACCACCTCCTTTACCATCATCACCTTCTCTACCATCACCACCTCCTTTACCATCACCACCTCTTGTACTATCACCTCCTCTTCTACCATCACCACCTCCTCTATCATCAACGCCACCTCTACACACATCACCACCACCACCACTACCACCATCTCTCTGTGCATCTTGCTGCATGTACATCTCTCTACATCTTTGTATTGACACACGTCTCCCTCTCTGTGTGTCAATACAAACCTGCATGAAGCATCTCCCCGTGCCGTGTCGGTCATCAGGGTTGTATGACCATACTTCACCGCTCTGGTCAATGCGGTTTGGCAAATGGTGACGGTGTGGGGGGGTAGCAGGGCCGCTTCAGATATCACTCGCCACCGAGTGTTCGCCACGGCCGGGAGTAAAACTCGGGTCGCTGGGTTTGTGGTGCGCCGGGCGCCCCATCGCATCTCCGCACGTCGCTCTGTGCGACTCTTCGGCGTCTCCACACTCTCGGCACCTCTCCCTCCACGCCACCCGTGTCGCTCGTGCACTCTGCACATTTCTCTCGGGGTGCCTCTTCCATTGTGCAGCCCTGCAGGCCTCCGTCTCTGGCCGCTGCACCCTCCCTGCACCCCCCACAGCCCTTTGCGTACAGTTAACTGGCACGCGTGTCTGTCCATTCGTTCACCGTCGCTCGCCTCCGGACCTCCCAATCGATGTCTCCCTTAGGGTTGTTAACCGGTAACCAGTAACCGGTCCCAGTGTAGTGGAAGTTGGAGTGTGTCCTGACTCCTCTTCGTCCTCCTCCCCCTCCCGCCCCTCCTCCTCCTCATCAGGAATTTTGGGCTTCAGTCAAGGAGCCTCAATGGCTTCTCTCATCCTCGCCATGCAGAGGGATAATGGTGAACAATCACCACCGCTACCGTCACCACCACCAGCACCAATACCACTACCACCACTACCACTACCATCACCACTAACATCACCACTTACATCACCTCCACTACCACTATCACCAGCACTACCATCAACACCACTACCATCAGCACCACTACCATCACTACCACTACCACAACTACCATCAACACCACTACCATCACCACCACTACCATCACCACCAATACCACCAGCACCACCACCATCACCACTTCCATCACCACCACCACTACCATCACGAGCACCATCAGTACCATTACCAACACCACTACCATCACCACCAGCGCCACAAATACCATCACCCCCACCATCACCACCACTACTACCCCTCCCTCCCCCCCCGGCATGGTGCCAGACGCGCGCTTCTCGTTTGGCTTCGCGGTGCTGGTGTCCGGCTTCCGGAGCAGCTCCACGGAGCACAGGGGCGCGTACGCTGGCGGCGCCGTCCCCACGCCCAGCCTGCACGTGCGCGGCCTCACGGACCGCGTCATCGCCCACCAGCGCAGCGCCGAGCTGCAGCAGGGATACTCGCACGCCAGCGAGCTCGTCCATCCAGGGGGTACCCCGCTCGCTCACCCGCTCACCCGCTCACCCGCTCGCTCGCTCACTCACCCACCCATTCACTCGCACGCCAGCAAGCTCGTCCAACCAGGAGGTACCTTGCTAACCCGCTCACCCGCTCGCTTGCTCATCCGCTCGCTCGCTCACTCGCCCACCCACTCGCATGCCAGCGAGCTCGTCCAACCATTAGGTAGCTTGCTAACCTGCTCACCCACTTGCTCACTCACTCACTCGCTCACTTACCCGCTCACTCATCCCCGCAACTCGTTCACTCACCCACTCACTCATCCCCACACTCGCTCACAGTCACGCGAGTGAGCTCATCTAGCTGGGGGGCAAACTTGTTCCGCGCTCGCTCGCTGTCTCGCTCACAACACTCACACTCATCACATGCGCTTACACTCAGGAAGTAAACAACAACCGCCATTCACCAGTAATGTGCGCACAGCACTTGTGCCAGCCTAGGTGCACTTTGAGATCACGTGAAGTGTCGAAGGAAGGCTCGCTTTTAGGTCACGGAACAGATCCAAGTGCTGTGGGTTGATGGAGATGGGTGGCAGATGCACTAATTGTGCTCTCCATCCATTGTGCCAACTTACTGCCCAGCACTTTGTTCGTTGTTGTGAGCGTTGCTCCTCTGCCCTCCGTTGTTGTTGGACGGCGACTGCCTCGAACTCAACAGTAGCGTCCTTCAAGAGCCTCCTCCAAAGAGGCCGATCTTGACACCGCTGGTAACGGTCATTGGCAACTCCACACAGCTCCAAATCCTTTTGTACCGCATTACTCCATTTCTTCTCTGGCCCGTGTCGTGCCCGTTTAGTCCCCTGCTTTGGTAAGTTGTGGCTGGGCATGCGGGCGACGTGACCCAGCCAACGCAGCCTCGGCTGGTGGAAGAGCTCACTGATGTGACTGTGAGCTCAATCCAGTCCGGTTAAACCCAGGATGAATCATAGGTGCAGGCCAGCCTGAATGTTTCAAAACGGCACAGATGTTCCTTTAAAGGGATCCATGTTTCGCAAACATAAAGGGAGGGCACAACTATGCATAGCTGTCAACCCATATTGTTTACCTGTATTCTTGTACAGGGAAATTGAGTTTTCAGGTCCATACGGCGTACAGCCGTTTCAATAAGGGCAAACTAACATTTTTGTGTTTATCCCTTGTGATGGGACTTTGTAGATGAAGGTTAAGATTTATAAGGGCACAGAGTGACCAAGAAGGTCTGAATTGGTCTGTAATACGGTCGGTGCTGATAAGGAAAAAAGCCCATGCCACTCGACCGAGTGAGACTTACATTGCCACACTGAAGCTGGTTATAGGCACACTGCCCAGGTACGAACATTTCTCCACTCTCTCCACGAATGCCCCATCACTCATGGGGAGTGGATGGGGTGGAGCATTCTATGACACAAAATAGCCAGGCAGGTGTTTAGTTTTGGTGGGGCTGATGGTATGTCCCCACCTTTCAGTAGCGCACTCCAAGTTCCGCAATAGTGGCCCTAACCCCTCTGGTAATTGAGCAGCAATTATCAGGTCATCCGCGAAACATGACTGCACTTGGGCATCAATCAGCCTTCCATTTATATCTGTACCAGATGGAAAGTTTATCGAACCACATGGTAAGAGAAGATGTTAAATAGTGTAGGGGCGAGAGGACATCCCTGTCACACCCCGTGGTGAACAGGGAACGGCTTTGACCACGATCATGAAGGTCCTTAATGATGACCACTCACAATCACACTGGCACACAAACAAATAACAACAGAGATCCCGCGTGTAGCCTGAACAGACTGTTGGGGCAAGTGCTGTTAGCGTGAACCTATGCAGGCTGGAACGTGGTGATGTTTTCACACCACACCAGGTACTCATTTGAGGCTGAGTCGACCTAGGAGAGGCCCATGTTAGATTCAGATAATCGTCACTGGTGTTGGCCGTGAGCGGGAATCGAACTCGTGTCGCCGGGTTCTAAGCACAACGTGCTAACCGCTACACACACATGTACCCCCACTCACACATCTGGGCGGTCAACACACATCGTTATTCACGCAATGAGGTGACTTACACACTCACTTCAGCCACGTGCACCCAGCCAGGAGGTGTGCAGTGACGCGCTCACCACTGCCCACATTCACACACTCACGACGCGCCTTCACTCACCACCCACTTGCCCTCACTGCGTACCACTCTTACCAAACCCTGAATCTGATCCCTCCCCTTGTGCACATCAACTCTGCTGCACGGAGTGGCTGGTGCGAATTGACGGTGATCATTGATGGTGATGATGGTGAAGACGATGGTCAGTGATTGATAGTGATGATCGATGGTGATGACAAGTGATTGGTGGTGGTGATGATCAGTGATTGGTGATGATCAGTGATTGGTTATGATCAGTGATTGGTGATGATCAGTGATTGATGGTGATGATAAACAGTGATTGAAGGCTGATTATGATCAGTGATTGATGGTGATGATAAACAGTGATTGAAGGCTGATTATGATCAGTGATTGATGCTGATGACCATGATGATGGCGATGATAGTAGCGGTGAGGTTCAGATGAGCCGATTGCGCACCAGGACGTGAACCTGTGCCCTCTGACCTCCTCGGCTGAGTAAGGACTCTGCCCGTCTCTGTCCCCAGGCCACTTCGTCCCCGCGTCCCCGCCCCAGAAGGCCATCTACCTCGAGTTTCTGGAGCGGTTTCAAAGAGACCAGAATGGGCAGCAGTGACCGGGGGAGGAGCCGTGGGGGGGGGGGGCATGGTGGAGGGGAGGGGCCGTGGGGGGGCCCGTGGGTGGGTCACTTGCTGCGAGCGACTGCGTCAAACTCTCTCCCAGTGTCCACCTCCACAGCCCTAATAAACGTCCGCGACTTGTTCCCCTCGCAATGGAGACCTGCGTATTTGTCCGTGTGGAGCGACGCATGCCGTGTGTTGGGAGATAGGCGTAGGGAGCGGCGGCGTAGCGGTTAGCGTGCTCCGCTACGAACCCAGCGACCCGAGTTCGATTCCCGTTCGCGACCAATAACATTGGTAAATATTTTAATATTTTCATGTGGCCTCCCCGAGGTCAACTCGGCCTTAAATGAGTACCTGGGCATGGTGCGTAAAACAATAGCAGGGAGACAAAGGTGGCACGAACGTGGTGCTGGTCACCCACCCCCTCATGTGCTGTGCCGCCCTTCATAGGCGCTCGCGAACAACACTTGCCCTGGCAGTCTTTTGAAGGCTACGCAGGGTATCTTTGGAGAGGTGATGGATCCTCTTACAGGTTTTTTTGGGTTAGATCGCATAAATATGAATGTGTCGTAAAACCCGCCACCACGACCAATTAGTAAGGTTTGTCCCGTAAACAAAACGTGCTAATCAGTTACGACTTTGTTACACCAGTGTTGGACAGTAAACCCACGACATTTACAATTCGTGTACTGTGATGTGTCGCTTACAACAACCAGCTTCATCAGGCAATGAGTCGGGATGGAAATTGGTCGCGGAAGCCGACGTGTTGAGCTGACGGATCCTCAACGGCTTCACGGAAGCAGTTGGTGCCCAAGCAGAGCGGGAGCGCGGAGTGTAAACTGTTAGCGGATTTCATAGGAATTTAACGAGATTCCCCAAGTCTATTGCGGTTGCCCGAACGGCGTTATGCCACACTGGAGCCGGGCGGCTGTACGTGTGTGTGTACGTTGAACGTCACCGTACGTCGCCAACCGTGCTAATCGGAGGTGCGATTAGCACTTGCCTTGCCTGGAGTCCAGCTCTGTGGAGGCAGCGAGGGCTGGTGGATCACGCACACATGTTGTGAAACTCCCTTCCCGAGGACGTCCGCTTGGGATAGTGTTGTCCCCTGTGCACGCGTGGGGTTTCTCCGGGTGCTCTGATAATTACCTGCCACGTGTATAAACACTCGCTAATTGGCCGATAACACCTTCATTTAATAGAGGACTGGGGAGCTTGGGCGATTGTTGGTAGCGCCGGCTCCTCGTCGCGTGGCTGCTGCTGCTGCCTTCCCGCTCCCCGTCTGTGGTTCCTCCTCCTGGCGGCGCCTCTGAGTCATCCCCTCTCTACGAGAGCGAGCAGCGGATATCGTGTGGCGGCGTTCGCGCGGCCTTACGAGTTGATGTCGTTACGAACCGCACATTCGGAACTCCAGTGGAGCAGTGCATTGCCCTGTGTCAGGAGAACGGCCCGTGGAAGGTGACATCAAAGAACCACTGCTGAGATATATCCCTTTTAAGTGGCTCTCCGCACGAGCGAGGTTTACTGCAGAGTTCCCCGGGATGTTCTGCACGGACAGCACGATCGCCAGTACGGTACAAGTGGAGTGTATGGTACCATCTGCCACAAACACCCCGTATGCCCACACGAGGTTTCGTGCCTCGGTAAAACTTGCTTTTGGTTATCGTTTCTGGCGTCCACAGCACCCTTCCATTTTCCTTTAGCAATTCATCCATTAGGGCCGTACACCAGCCACTCGCACACCAAAACAGCAACCCCCATAGCCTGAACAGACGCTTGTGGAAAGTGCCATTAGCGAGCACCTACGATGGCCGGCAGGGCACATGAGAGGGCGGGTGGTCAGCACCACACTCGGCCGCCTTTGTCTCCCGAGTGGCGATGTTTTCACAGCGCACTAGGAAATTTGAGACTGAGTCGACCTAGGGGAGACCCAGGACGGGTTCAGATAATCGTCACCGGTGTTGGTGGCCATGGGCGGGAATTGAACTCGGGTCGCTGGATTCATGGCGTACGTGCGCTAACCGTGCATCACCCCACAACAACAACACTCTCGCCATTCACCACGAAGTGGAGGTGACATCACTCCGGCGCCTGTGCCAGGCCAGGTGCACTGAGGCCACGTGAAGTGTCGAAAGCTTGCCAACAGGAGGTCACGGGGCAGACCCAGGTGCCATGGGTTGACGGACTGAGATGACTGGCAGATCCACACCGCCACCTGTGCCCCCCCCCCCCACACTCTCACACCCAGACGGCGCACAAGCACACTGGTCGAAGTTGCAATGTCGACGCTTCTCTCCTGTGCGTGCTCTGCTGCAGCCCACGTGCACTGCCGTGTCCCCTGTGTGGTGGGGGGGGGGGTGCATGGCAGTGTAGAAGCCGTCGTGGGTGGTGCCGGCCGGTGGGCGCGTGGCGCCTCGTGTGCCCAGCCCACTCCCGGACACAACAACAACAGGGACACGATCCTCTCGAGTACATTTCGTATTTTAAATTTCAGTTGCAATTCTCATTACAATACAGCAGCCTTAAAGAAGCTTCGCATACTTCAAACACAGTAAATCCTAAACAATTACAATAATAATCATAACGATGGTGGTGGTGGTGGTGACGACGATGGCGGTGACGATAGGAGCTGTGGTGGTCACCGTGGGGGGCTCGGACTCTGGCTGGAGTGGCTGTTGAGGTCGGTGCCATGGGGTGGGGGGCTTGGGTCTACGGCCAGAGTTATCGCTCGGGGACAGCTGGGGTTAGGAGCAGATTGTTGATTTGCTTTCAGGGTGTGGAGCAGATCGGACTCGGGGTAAGTGTTGACGGTGGGATTATGGCTCGAGTTGGGGTTGAAGGGTTCGCGTTGGGGGCAGGGGGTCTGGCGACGGCATGGGTCACCGCCTCAACGCGCGCGGCTCTCTGCGCGAGTTCCGCCACCGAAGGAGATCAATCGAGGGGGGGGGGGGGGGGTGCGAACTCCGGCTCCGGGGGCTGGGTGCTCCGCTCCGGGGCTTTGCGAGCAGGGTCCAGGGCGGCTCGGTGCTCATCGCCGAGCTGGATTCACGGAGGGCTCGTGGGGAAATGGGGGAAGCGATGGGGTGGTGGGGGTAAGATACGCCTGCAGTTACCAGATGAGAGGTTATCCCGACGCCACGGTTTCCGAAACTCCAATCCTCAAGACCCACGACCCCACTCCGTCTTTCCACATCCACCAACGGGCTCCTCCACATTCGAATGAACTCGCTCCCCGACCCACGCGATGCGCTCAGCGACGAGCGCTGCGTCAACGGAGCCGATTCCGTGCGTGCCACACGACACAGAAAAGCGTCGAATCATCAGACCCGTGCAGCAGCGTGCAACGAGTTGATTTGTGGGGCGCCACGGTGGCTAGGAGATGTTAACTACCTCGCCTGGTATGCAGGAGGATCTTGACGCCTGCTGCTGTATATTTGGAGTTTGCGTGTCTCTCTCTCCCCGTGATCACATGGACTTGTCTCTGGGTCCTCCGGTTTTTCCCTCCACGTTTAGAAACACGCGTTTAGAGTATTTGGTTGCTAAACATTTCCACGTGATAAGCCACTTCGTGGAGCGGCCAGATCGGTTCTAAAAAAGAGCTGTACAGCTGAAGTGGGTCCTTACCTGGTACAAGACAAAAACTGTTTGATAGTTTTTAGTTTCGAATCAGGAGGAGTCGAATGATATACGCGGAAAGACGCAGCAGCGTTGCAGGTGAGCGGGGGGGGGATTCGCAAAGACTGGAGTTTGGGGAATCCTGCCCTCCACGCTGGGTGGGGGGCAGTGGACCCTGGCTCGCGATGGCTTTGATTATCTCCGGCTACCCCCCCCCCCCCCCGTCGATGGAGGAGGCCGAGCTATAAGAAGCCGCGGCCTCAGCGGCGCCAAGTGAACCACACGCACGATGGGGTGGGGTGGGGGGCCATCGTCACCACGGCTCGCGCAGCGTCTCGCCGAGACCGACGACCGGGCTGTGGCTGCAGTCGAGTGGCACACCCGGCAGCAGCGGTAACCACGACTCGGTTCCTGCTGCCACCCGACTCGGCTAGCGACAGCGGCGGGTCACAGCCAGACAAGGTGGGGTCACCACGCAGCAGAGGCACGGGACTCCCCAGACCGTGCCCCCAACCCTGCCCTCGGGTCTGCACGGCCCCAGGCCAATGAGTTGACCCAAGCCAGGCACGAGGATCGAGACGCGCGCGAGCGTGGACTCGCAGGCTACATAACGAAACATTTGAGAAATGTCAAATTAGAAAAATGCGTACAATAACTCAGGCAGGGGGCGGGGCGAGAGTGTCGAGTGTCGTTTACCTTCAGAGATAAATAGCTCCAGTTTTGTTTTTTCCGTTGTCAAACACCTCGGGACCTCTTCACATGCAACATAAATTCCACCGTGCTGCAGTTCAATTGTTAATCGCGCGGGTCGTGACGCCCGTTGACCCCCCGCTCCCCCGCGCGTGTCACCTCATCCGGGCCGATGGCAGCCAAAGTCGCCGCCCGCGGCAGCCGCCGTCGGTCGCGGCGACGACGACGGCGGCCACGACGAGTCGAAGTGCGCCGCTTGCCGTCCGCGGAGACGAATCGAGGGCAAAGGGGCCGCGGGAATAAAGCTGCCGGCCGCTGTTGTAGTCGCGCGGCCCGGCAGCTTTGCGCGGCTCCACTGTCGCGATTCGTCATCGGTTTTATTTCGGGTTAGTTCACGCGTAATGATGTTCGCGAAACAAATTTGTGTCATGCAAGAACCCCCGCCCGCTGCCCGACGCGCGGCCAAACAAATTGAATAGTCACGTGGGTGTGCGGGCATTTGGCGAAGAGCCCATCGATCGTCGCTGTTTCAGCTTGCTCGTTCACTCAACCAAACACTCGCTCGCCCACTCAATCTCTCACCCACTCGCTCACTCAATCATTCACTCACTTGCTCACCCACCCACTCGCTAGCCCACCCGTTCGCTCTCTCATCCGCTCACTCACCCACTTGCTCGCTCACCTGCTCACTCATCCACTCGCTCGCTCACCCATTCACTCATCCACTCGTTCGCTCACCCACCAACTTACTCGCTCACTCACCCACTCGCTCACTCATTAGCTCACTCACCCACTAGCTAGCTTACTCACCCACTCACCCACCTACTCACTCGCTCACTCATCTCACCTAACTCGCTATCTCACTCACCCACTCACTTGCTCACCCGCTCACTCACCCACTCGCTTGCTCACCCACTCGCTCTCTCATCCGCTCACTCACCCGCTTGCTCGCCTGCTCACTCACCCACTCGCTCGCCTGCTCACTCACCCACTCGCTCGCCTGCTCACTCACCCACTCGCTCGCTCGCCTGCTCACTCATCCACGCGTTCGCTCATCTACTCGCTCACTCATCCACTCGTTCGCTCATCCACTCGCTCACTCACCCACTCGCTCACTCATTAGCTCGCTCACCCACTAACTCATCCACTCGTTCGCTCACCCACTCACCTACTCGCTCACTCACCCACTCGCTCACTCATTAGCTCGCTCACCCACTCACCTAATCGCTCACTCACCCACTCGCTCACTCATTAGCTCGCTCACCCACTAACTCATCCACTCGTTCACTCACCCACTCACCTACTCGCTCACTCACCCACTCGCTCACTCATTAGCTTGCTCACCCACTAACTCATCCACTCGTTCGCTCACCCACTCACCTACTCGCTCACTCACCCACTCGCTCACTCATTAGTTCGCTCACCCACTAACTCATCCACTGGTTCGCTCACCCACTCACCTACTCGCTCACTCACCCACTCGCTCACTCATTAGCTCACTCACCCACTCACCCACTCACCCACTCACTCATTAGCTTACTCATCCACTCGCTTGCTCACTCACTCACCCACTCACTCACCCACCCACTCACTCACTCACCCACCCAAACACTCGCTCACCAACTTACTCACCCAGTGGGTTAGAGACCAATTGTCACAGCCAAATTTAGTGCTTAGATCGACGGACGTTTCACGTGAAACTGCGCCAGGCATGTTCAGGGCGAGGTCCAGGAAGTGGGAATCACGAAGTGCGAACGAGGCCTCGCGTCCGGCGGCCGCCTCCTGCTCAGCGAGGTCGCCACGTGGACCGACCCAACAAGACGCTTGCGGATCTGAAGCCGTGAACATCGCGCAAAAAGTGGCGGCGTTACTCGCGGGGATCTCGATCTCCACGTCTGGCAATGGTGCGAACCTGGGGCCACGCCACAGAGTGGAGGGGGGGGGGGGCGAGCAGGGGTCAGCGGGGTCGCGGGGGTCGCAGGGGTGCACCATCCACTAGTGGGGGCGGGGGGAGGGGGGCTGGCGAGGGGTCCTGGGGTTGCGCGCGCTTGTGGGGTCGAGAATAAATACGAGGCGGAGGCGACGCAGAGGAGGAGGAGCAGGAGGAGGAGACGAGGAGGCGTCCACGCTGGCCCAGGCTCACACCACACCTGCAGAGCGACACACGGGGGGCAGGGCTCAGCGTCAAGGGCAGAGCGCGGGGACACTTGCACCGAACTCGGCAGCTTCCTTCAACAACTTCGCCCATTTTGATGCAGTCAAATACTCGTGTGTGTGTGCGTGTGCGTGTGAGCGTTCTGCACGGCCAGTGACTGGAACGAGCCCCCCTGGGGTACGGCGGAATGATTTCCCAACCAATATCGCCAGATTCGCGTGAAGGACACGTGGTGTAGATGGTTTCGTAACGTTGCCTTGAGAGCGCGAGTGGAGGAGTACGTGCAGAGTGCGAAGACGGGAGAGTGTGCCGTGTCGGCCTTCACAGGTGCTGCTACTCGCTAACAGCACGCGCCCCAACAGTCTGTTATGGCTATACAGGGGATCTTTATCTTTGTTGTGCGAGGGGGCGCGGTAGCGGTTAGCGTTCTGCGCTACGAACCCGGCGACCCGAGTTCAATTCCCGCTCGCGGTCAGCAACACCGGCGACGACTAAATCGGTCCTGGGCCTCCCCTAGGTCTACTCGGCCTGAAACGAGTACCTGGTGCTATGCGTAAAACATCTCCACTTAGCAAGACAAAGGCGGGGCCGGTCGCGGTCTCTGGCCGAACCCACGCCGCCGTGCGCCGCCGTGCGCCGCCGTGCGCTGCGCCCCGGGGGCTCTCGCAGGCGCCGCTCCTCCTCGCTAACGGCGCTCGCCCCGACAGGCCGCCGCCGCCGCCTCCTCCTCACCCGTGCGCCGCGCCTCCTGCTCGGAGAGGCTGTAGGCCATGGCGAGCTGCATCTCCTCGTCGTCCTCGTCGCTGTCCGACACGTAGAAGTACTCGGAGGGGCAGCTCTGCGTGCGCTCCGTGCGGCGAGCCTGGGGGGCCCCGTCCCCCGCAATCGCCTGGGGCCCCCCTTCGCCCCCCTGCTGCTGCTGCTGCTGCTCGCGCCGGCTCAGCTCCAGCACCAGCGCCATCTCGTCCTCCACGCCTGCAGGGACTCGCACAGCGCACAAAGACCCCCCGCGCCACGCGTGGCCTTCACTCGGTTGCTGGTTGCAAGCGGTATTGGCAAGCAGCGCCTACGAAGACCGGCACGGCACGCGAGGGAGGGGTGGGTGGGTGGTCAGCATCACGCCCAGCCACACCGCACCAGGTACTCATTTAAGGCCGAGTTCCACCTCGGGGAGGCCCAGACCCAGTTCGGATATTCGCCGTTATTGGGTCGTGAGTGGGTATCGAACTCGGGTTCGCTGGATTTGTAGTGCTTGGCGCAAACTACTGCGCCGCCGCTCCCCGCAGGCACACAAAACACGCGTGGACACGAGGAGGCACACGTGGATGGACGCACAGACGCACATACGCACGCGTCAGCGACGGAGCCGTGAGCCCAGAGATCGCGACGCAGTCAGCGATGCAACTTGCGGATGTCGTTTCCAGCGAAGATTAAACCGCCGCGCCGTCACGGAGACCGTGCAATGCCCCCAAGGACGCTGACGTGCTGCTGACTGGTAGAGTCACTGCGCTCCACACACAGAACTGTAAGCCGATGTGCACCGGGCACCAATCCCCTGGCTCGCTGTTCCGTCGGACATTCTGCAGACTTCTTGGTTCTTTCGGTAAAGTCACGTAGAAGGGAAGAGAATTGTTTTATTATGTTTTATTTTTATTATTTTATTACTTCCCTTCTACGTGACTTTACCGAAAGAACCAAGAAGATGAATCCCTGCAGTCACGAAAGCTTTAAATCGAAATTCTGCAGACTGCGAGGGAGTTTCCTTGCCAGTGACAGGCTACCCGCGGGCCAAGGCCTCGCCACGTGGATCGCCGTCGGCTCCTTATGGGATCACTCTGCTGCCCTCCTAGAATCTAACCCAGATCTTACTCATGTAGATGTATACAGCGCCTCACTCCATAGGGGAGAGAGTCTCACTGAGTCACCCAGAGGGGAGAGAGTCTCTGCTGAGACACCCAGAGGGGAGATAGTCTGCTGAGACACCCAGAGGGGAGAGAGTCTCTGCTGAGACACCCAGAGGGGGGAGAGTCTCTGCTGAGACACCCAGAGGGGAGAGAGTCTCTGCTGAGACACCCAGAGGGGAGAGAGTCTCTGCTGAGACACCCAGAGGGGAGAGAGTCTCTGCTGAGACACGCAGAGGGGAGAGAGTCTCACTGAGTCACCCAGAGGGGAGAGAGTCTCTGCTGAGACACCCAGAGGGGGGAGAGTCTCTGCTGAGACACGCAGAGGGGAGAGAGTCTCTGCTGAGACACCCAGAGGGGGGAGAGTCTCTGCTGAGACACACAGAGGGGAGAGAGTCTCTGCTGAGACACCCAGAGGGGAGAGAGTCTCTGCTGAGACACACAGAGGGGAGAGAGTCTCTGCTGAGACACACAGAGGGGAGAGAGTATCTTCTGAGACACCCAGAGGGGAGAGAGTCTCTGCTGAAACACCCAGAGGTGAGAGAATCTCACTGAGACACACAGAGGGGAGAGTCTCTGCTGAGACACACAGAGGGGAGAGAGTCTCTGCTGAGACACACAGAGGGGAGAGAGTCTCTGCTGAGACACACAGAGGGGAGAGAGTCTCTGCTGAGACACCCAGAGGGGAGAGAGTCTCTACTGAGACACCCAGAGGGGAGAGTCTCTGCTGAGACACACAGAGGGGAGAGTCTCTGCTGAGACACACAGAGGGGAGAGAGTCTCTGCTGAGACACCCAGAGGGGAGAGAGTCTCACTGAGACACACAGAGGGGAGCGAGTCTCTGCTGAGACACCCAGAGGGGAGCGAGTCTCTGCTGAGACACCCAGAGGGGAGAGAGTCTCTGCTGAGACACCCAGAGGGGAGAGAGTCTCTGCTGAGACACCCAGAGGGGAGAGAGTCTCACTGAGACACCCAGAGGGGAGAGAGTCTCTGCTGAGACACACAGAGGGAAGTTTCGCTCCTGGCCCTGGGTCCACGCTGCGTGGGGAGGACACCTCTGTGGGTGTTTGTGTCTCTCAGTGTTTCTGTTCTCAAGTCGCGCTCCACGCTCCGCGCTCGGCTCCTGGCCAGAGCGTTCGCTCCCAACTTTATGATCACGTGCTCCCTCCCCCCCTCTCTCACAAACCTTCCTCTCTTGCTCTCTTTTTTTACGATCAGAGGAAACAAGAAATGCTCGGTGTAGTCGGCACTTTGCTTCGGTCATCATTTAGTTTTTTTTAATGCTTTGCTTTATGTAACCCCCCCCCCTTTTTTTAAATGAAAGATTTCACAAGAGAGGTCTCGCTCTGCTCTCCATTACCCCTTCCCTCTCTCTCTACCCCCTCTCTCTACCCCCCCTCTCTCTACTCCATGTCTATGTTCCCCCTATGTTTTGTATGTAATATTTGTAATATTATAAAAAAAAAATTTACGACAAGTGCTGCATCTGCACCCAGCCCTTCTTGCAGGCCTACGGCCTCCGATGGGTCGCTCATATCTGCATGCAGAGCTCTCCATCCCCCTCTCTCTTGCACCTCCAGCATCTCGACTGCTCTCCCCTCTCTCGCTGTCTTATTCTCTCTCTCCACCTCTGCACTTGCTCTCTCGCCCAATGTCGACTGTGTGCTCAGCAACGCTCACGCGGACGTTGAGGGGTGGCGAGGGGGCGAGGAGGGTGGCGGTGAGCGGCAGCTCTCGGAGTCGCCGAGTCGCCACGAGAGACGTGGGGAGCGGTGAGAGACGCGGCGGGGACGGAGGTAACCATCGTGCCATGCGGTTGGGGCCCGGGTCATCGTCTGTCTGGTGTGGGTAGGGCTACAGCTGTGGTGTAGGTGGTGTGGGTGGGGCTACAGCTGTGGTGTGGGTGGTGTGGGTGGGGCTACAGCTGTGGTGTGGGTGGTGTGGATGGGGCTACAGCTGTGGTGTGGGTGGTGTGGGTGGGGCTACAGCTGTGGTGTGGGTGGTGTGGGGCAGGGCTACAGCTGTGTGGTGGGTGGTGTGGGGTAGGACTACAGCTGTGTGGTGTGCGTGGTGTGGATGGGGCTACAGCTGTGGCGTGGGTGGTGTGGGGTGGGGCTACAGCTGTGGGCTGGGTGGTGTGGGTCGTGCTACAGCTGTGGTGTGGGTGGTGTGAGGCTACAGCTGTGGTGTGGGTGGTGTGGGGTAGGACTACAGCTGTGGTGTGGGTGGTGTGAGTGGTGTGGGGTGGGGCTACAGCTGTGGTGTGGGTGGTGTGGGTGGGGCTACAGCTGTGGGCTGGGTGGTGTGGGTCGTGCTACAGCTGTGGTGTGGGTGGTGTGAGGCTACAGCTGTGGTGTGGGTGGTGTGGGGTAGGACTACAGCTGTGTGGTGGGTGGTGTGGGTGATGTGGGGTAGGACTACAGCTGTGGTGTGGGTGGTGTGGGTGGTGTGGGTGGGGCTACAGCTGTGGTGTGGCTGGTGTGGGTGGTGTGGGGTAGGACTACAGCTGTGGTGTGGGTGGTGTGAGTGGGGCTACAGCTGTGGGCTGGTGGTTTGGGTAAAGTTCGAGCTCTGGTGTAGGTAGTTTAGGGAGGATCAGGGCTATAGTCTGATTGGCTAACATGGTTTAAGTTTGGGATCTGGTACATGCCTCAATCTGATTGGCAAGTGTGCAGTCACGTGCACATGACTCACCACCTATCTGTGCCTTCTCACGCACGGCTCCCATTCTCTGCCCCCCCAACCTCTCTTCGTTTCCTCCGGCATGCGCGAGTTCACCTAATTGGCCATAAATGCCAAAACAGGAAGCTGCTGAAATGTGCATTTTGTGCGTCATTTTGTGCGATTTCATGAATAAATAAACCCAATCCCCTCCACGTGGCCGCTACCCGCACTGCGCCCTCCCCGCAGCCAACTCGCTCCCAAGGCAGCCGGAGACCAGCGTCTGGACGGCCGAGTCCCGTATCGATATCATAGCGGCACCACAAATAGTACCTTATGGGTACCCTACCTCAAGGCCGTAGCCATGGAGTCAACATTGGGGGGGACCAAATCTTCCAGGGGGTCTGGGGGTCTGGGGGTTTTGGGCCCCCCTCTCCCCCGAAAAAAAAAATCTAAATTTGAAAACGAATTTTCTGCCATTTCCTGCCTAAAATATTTTTTAAAATTCGCTAACACATAGGATGAACAATAATGTCTAATAGTGTATTGTATTCTATTGCTCTGTTTTTTCTTTTTTACCTTTTCCTATTTAATTGTATGTAATGGCATATATTATGGATTAATAAAGTACAACTATAGCCACAATAATATAAACAGAAATCTATTTTATAGCAATATATTGGGGGGGACATTTTGAGCATATTTGAATATTGGGGGGGGGGGGGATGTGTCCCCCCCAATACATCTTATAATTACGGCCTTGCCCTACCTTATCGGTGACCATATCAGTACCGTATCGGTACCGTAGAGTTAGGGAGGTAATAGGAATTGTGTAGCAGGATAGGGCAAGCAACTTGGAGGTTGTGATGGGTGGGACACGTGAGCAGTTTAGAGAAGGAAGAAAGCGGAGGGCAGGTCACTGAGACCGCGCACTCGAGCGGCATGGAGAGGCGGCACAGCGGGGTAGAGGAGACCTCAAGCCAGGAGGCGCTGGTGGCGGCGAGCGCGTAAACCTTTGCGGGTCAGATGTCAACTGTGCAACAGCTGTGGCCATCCGTTGACCTCTTGACCTTTGCCTTATCATTAAGATATTTCACTGCCCAGGTGCCCGCGTGGCACAGCGTCGGTGGTACCAGCTGCAATCCACCCCACCACCACCCCAAGGGGCCAGCATCGCCGCCCGGCATTGCCGCTTCTCCAGGGGCCGCGGGGCGCAGGGTGTGAGCGGAGGGTCGAGCTGGCACGATCTTCGGGGATCGCGAGGTCGTTGGGGAATCGATAATTTCAACTGCAGCGGAAGGGAGATGGAATCGAACCGTCGTGACCTCTGAATTGTAAATCCACTGGAGGCTTCTCCTTGCCAACATCAACCTCACGGCATGCGATGTGTGCAAATTAATTAGTTATCACGCACACGATCGGGCGCGTGTCTCACGAGTGTGAGGGTCTATTTTTTGTTACGTGGCTACAAAGATCCCTCCTGTGTTGATTTAGGGCGGCAGGCAGCATCTGCCTGTGCGCGTCCGTGCCAACCATTGTCCACAGGGCTGACCTATGACCTCTTGACCTGAAGTAGCCAGACTGGGTGGCATGACACTGCCCGCTCTCCCATCGCCCTCCCATCTCGTGCCGTGGTGTGTGCCAGCTTCAGGCGACGTCAGTCCGCGCCACTCCACTCTCGCCATACTTGGCAGTGTTATGCAACGCCATCATTAATTAGGGAGAATAGCGCACGAGCGAGCCAGACGCTGGCCCTGAAAAAAGAGCTCATAGCTCAGTGGGCTTCACCTGCTGCAATAAACCAGTTTAGTTTTAAACATTGTTGTGAGGTTGGTCATGCAGGTCTGCGGTCGCCACCTTCTCCACTTGAGACCAGACCGGGACACGTTTCTCAGAGCTGTGCTGCCATCTCCCGCAGGAGAGTTCCATACAGCAGCAACTACGGTGCCACCGGAACACGACGGCAGACGATGACAGGTCACACCCAGGTGTCAGCCCAAACCAGGTAAAACTTCCAAGTGAGCTAACGAGTCCTGGTCTCTTGAATTCATACCCGCTTCAACGACATTCACTCGACACGTAGAAGCTTGCTCAAATTAGATTTTTTAAATTATGTTTGGTCTCCGACCCGAAGATGCCCAACGCAGTTCCCGGCGAAACGTCGCGTGTCCGATGGATAACTTTGGTTGTGTTGAGGTGTGCGAGCCGAAACGGTGACCGCTGGCGCGTCTTTAAACGCACGGACACGTGGCACGTTTGGCCATGCGGGGTGGTGGAGGGTTCCACGACAAAATTTGGCCCGGTCACTAGGTCGGCTAACCCAAGAATCTATTCTGAATGAGAATGGACTCGACTAAACCGTGGGGGTGTGGGGGCGATGGCAGAGCCAAGGGAAACGTGACCTTCCTGCGGGGTCAGAGGCCTCACTGAGGCAGGTCTGCTGAAACGACGCCACCTCCATCGCGTGCGCAAGAGGGCGGCAGCTGCTGCTGCTGCGTTGTTGCTGATACACTGCTGCTGCGTTGTTGCCGATACACTGCTGCTGATGCTACACTACTGCTCTGCTGCTACAGCAGCTGCATTGCCAGTAGTGCACGAGCACAATTAACAACACAAATCTCTACACATGTCAATCACGCTGTGGCCTTGAAAAAAACAATAAGAAAAAATTGGCGACGGTCCTTCTCCATAGCACGAAGACAGGCAGACGAACCCACAGCTTCACACTCGTGTGAGTGCAGCCCATACCACACAGCCTGGCTGTGGAGCTACGACATAAGAACCGTTGTTTTTTCGTTACGTCTTCACACACAGAGAGCTGCCACTGTGGTGGTGCAACGGTCAGCGCAATGGACTCGACTGGACTTCAGCAATCCAGAGGTCGCCGGTTCGATTTCATCTCCTGGCGAAGCGGCTGAAACAATGGTGAGTTTCTTAAATCCCACTCCCCACCCCCAACTCCTCTGTACACCCAGCAGCAGTAGGTGACGTGTGGTGGGGTAGAGTGTGGGCAACTCATCAAGACGCCCGGTCAGCATGAAATAGTAGACCAAATTCTCTCTGGAGCTCCCTGAAGAGGAGGCCCTATGGCCAGGAGTGGCGAGAGCGAGCGAGAAAACTTCCAACAAGCGGAATAACGTGGAGCCTGCGTGGCGAGCGAAGCCAGTGGAAGGGCCGCGTGGCTGCAGGAGCAGGGCACCCCTGGGGGCGAGCGGCACACGGCCTCTGTGCCACTGCGCTCGCCGTGCGCCCACCGCGGCGGAGCGGCTGGGGGGAGGGGGGAGCGGGGGGATATTTTGGCTTTTTGCAGGAAACAACGCAAAGTGTCGCGACACTCGCGAGATCGAAGGGCCCGCCCAGCTCGTCGCCCTCCCTTCTTTCGCCGGGGTCACGCCGAGACGTCTCCCCTGCCGGGGCTACGCCCCAGTGCTCGTCGGGGTGCGGTGCAGCAAGCTGGGATGTTGCCGATCTCCTTGCAATCTTGGCATTTCTGCAGGCACCCTGGCTCCCCCCCCCGCCACATCAAACGTAAACAAAACCATCTATGAGGAATTGGCTAAGCGTCCAACTACACGGGATGTTTGGCCAAAAAATCCCCGAGACTCCCTCCTCCTCGTTTGGGGCTCTGCCGCCATCACCACAGCAGCTCGTGTGGCTCCCCGCACGAGGACGTCGCGCCCCGCCACCCCCCGGAGACTCGTCGCCGTGTTTGTTACACTTCCTGTGCGTACGTCCACGTCGTGATCCGCACGCCACAGCAGGCCACAGCAGGCCACAGCAGGCCACCTGTTAGGAAACCCAAACGCTCCCCGAGGGCAGACGTGTGCCGGATGGCGCTGCGGAGACCAGGCGTGCGCGTGGTTCGTCTTCCTGGTTACTCCTCTTCCGCTCGCTGGCCGCGTCTCATCTCGGGTTCCTCTTTTGTAACTTGTGCTTGGCTCCACCACTGCCTCTGATATCAGTCACGCGACCGGGGCTGCCTCGGGCGAACAAAGTTCCTGTTATGAAACGCGATATTGTGCAAACATTCGCAGCTCGGGCCATGGTCTCATTGGCAGCCCCAGATCTGTATCTTCATCCAGCGTCAACGCCCCCCCACCCCACCACTCACCCTGCGTGTGTGCAGCTTGCAAACAACTCCAGCGCCAAGTCCGCCTGCGACCCGGAGGACCGACGGAGTCCCGCGCTGAATGTGCAGACGTCTCTCGTGTCGCCTCGCCGGGTGAGAACTCAAGGCGGTCACGTGGCACAGCCGTAGCGCGTTTACAGATTGTTGCAGGGGTTCGTGATTTGAACCCAGGGGCCACCCTGGATAATACTGTGGCCGTTTTAAACGTACTGTACTTGCCTTCTTCGCAGAAGACGTTCAAGACCTTTAAATACAGGCCATTGTATGTTGAAAAATTACACCACAAATTACTTAATTGGGATTACACATCACCATAGCAACTTTACCGCCCCACTGTGGAACGACTGCACACCACGTCTGTGAAACACCTTGACGATGTGGCCTTGGAGAGTGGCGCGAATACCAAATGCAAGCGTGCTTGGAGTTGAACTGTGACGTCACGTCGTGTCACGTGACTCCACTGGCCGAGGGGGGTGAGGATGTCGAGTCGACCCGCAACGCGAGCCGGTCGCCCGCCCCTCCCCCCCCCCCCCCCCCCCCACGGACGACGTCTTTGCAGCACCGTTCACGTTGTCGAACAACCTCGGTTCCTCCCTGAACAGCGCAAATCTTCCTTCAAAGAACATCCTGAAGCAGACCACTCGTGCCCGATACAAATGTGATGTGGAACTTTGACCCCCCATCCTGTGTATCATCGATAGTTCATTGTTCAATGTAATTGAGGGGCTTGTGTGTTGTTGTTGTCTTGCTGTGATCTGGGACTGTTGCTGTTGTTGTTTTGCTGCCTTGCCCCAAGCTTGCATTTGGTGTTGACAAATCGGCAGGAATGTTTGTACTTGTGCTATTTGTACGTCTGTACTTTATTTCGTTGTAATCATTTATAGCGACTTTTTCGCTGTCTTGCTCTTATATTGTCCCCCCCCACCCCGCCCCGTAGCTGGTGAAGAGCTTCATCAGGTTTCTCCTCCACGAAATAGACAACAGATCTGACGCTAGGCCAAGTCGACCATCAATCAACACGTGACCTTGGTACTATTCGACGACGACGACTTGGGTGCGCCAACCAACCGGTGCCACGTGGCCTGCTACAATTGCTTCTCCTCTGCTCGTTCACCCGGGAGGAAAGCCCTCGCCGAGCCTGCAGGCTCGTTTTCAGGAGGGATGTTTGCCGCTGCTGTTGACGATCCCAATTGGCTAATTTGCAGGTCATTGTTCAACATTCGCATTTGTGGCCAATAGGTATGGGAGAAAACTGCAGAACCTTAAGGACACCCACGCAGAACAGGGGCAGAACGCAGACAGCACACAGAGAGGTGCCCGAGTCGGGAATCGAAACCTTCCGGTTACCGAACGCATACGTTGAGGTCACGCTCACTGCACACAAAGCGAGTGCCACAAATGAACCACAATAACTTGCTGATCTCAAGGAACAGAAACCATCACGCAAACTCAGGTCATCCTCGCTGTGGATTTTGGTAAACCATTGAACATAGCTGGCCACTGCATCGTGCGCTTTCAGATGCGCTTCTCCGGCCGTCTGGAACGCTCTGCCTTCACTGGAGCTATGCAATTTTAAATCATCTAGATTAACAAACTCATGTTCTTTAGAACTGCTTTGTGTTTAGTTTTTTTATTCCCTCGCACCTCCAATTTTCACGGTTTAGCTACGTACGGTGCAAAGTAGTTCAACGTACATGCATGCAAAGCGCGGCATTCACGGCCTCCGAATCATTCCCTCTCTCTTCGAGAGCGAAAACGGTGCTATCTGATAATTACGCAGAAGCCGTCTCAGCGAGACCTGGAATGCGAGTAGAAGACACCGTCCCTTGCTCACCACTGACACACACGCTCCCCGTGACACGCGTTAAACGGGACCCCTCATGGTGGGGTCACGACCCCTCGCCGTGCCCACCAGCACGCACACAGCCACCCGGGTCGGGGACGATCACGCCGAGACGAAAGCGAGCGTGATGATCGAATCCAAGTTCATACGTTTCACCCCAACCCTTATTAAAAAAAGTTATTGGTGTGAGGATCTGATTGACCAATACTGAATGACCCCAAAATCTCACCAGCATCGCAGCCAAAACTGCCGGTCTGCAAAGTGCAGTGCCACAAGGCAACGACTCAACCGCAACCCAACTGCGACTTGCAATATTTGCTGAAATGACGACGCCTGATGAATTTACTACAAATCCAAAACATAAGTGGACTGGCTGAAACCGTTGTGTCTTCCTGGAGTCTATTCCGAGTTCCTGGACTTGAGGCCTGAAGAGGGCTTGGCACAGTTTCAAGCGAAAGGTCGGGGTTCTTACTGCTGCTAAATCTGGCCTCCAGTTGTTTCTCGACTCTGACCCACGGCGAGCGAGCCAAAAACAATTGGCTCGTCCCGAAACGCTTGTACACGTGACAATTCAATTTGCTTGGCTACGTCAGATGGTGGAGGGTCTTACGACACAGACAGAATCAATAACGTGGCCTCGCCCAAAACATTATAACCACGAACGCCAAGTAGGCAGCTTTGTTTGACGAGGGCCAGCCATGCGTGCGGAGGTGCGTGCGTGGGGGAGCGGGTGTAGGGGTCGCGGCTTCCCTGCTAGCGCCGCACACGGGGCCCACGCGTGCGCAGCCTGCCACGCTGTACCCACCTGAGGACCCAGGGCACACAGCAGCAGCACAAAAACACAAGCACACCGGGTCCTTCAGCACGACTGCAGCAACACCATCTATCTTAGCCAGTAATAGACTGGCAGACTGCTCTCTGATGGGTCTCTAGATAGGAAGAAATTGACAGACTGGTCTCTGGTGGGGTCTCTAGCCAGTAATAGACTGGCAGACTGGTCTCTGATAGCTTTGCTGTAGCGGATTTTCGCGTTTTCAGTGAACGTTGCTCACAAACGCATCGTCAATGTATTCACGAAGGTGCCGAGGTGGTGGCGATGATGGCGACGAGGATGGTGATGAGGATGGTGATGAAAACGTCGGGTGGAGGAGCACTATTTGTGGTCAGAAAAGACAATACGAGCAAAACACCGGTGAAAATAAAAACACAAGACACGAACGAGTGATGTTTTTGAACGGGTGACATTTGCAAACCAACAAGTTGTCCACCAAGGGCACCGAGGGCAACAGTAGTCGAACCCCTAAGTGTGGACGTGCCTTTAGCAAATCCTTCTCCCAGTGTACGGACCATCCCTTGTGCCAGCCGAATTCGCGGGGTTTTGGGTTGTGGTTTGTAGCAGCGGGGCAAGGGTTGAGGTTAGGGTTGGGTTTAGGGTTGCAGTTAGCATTCGGGTTATGTGGGAGGTGCGGTGTGGGTTAGAATTGGGGTGAGGGTTGGGGGGTTGCAAGGGTTGAGGTGAGGGTGGGAGGCACGGCACACGGGGTGGGGGGGCAGGCCACACGGGGTGGGGGGGCAGGCCACACGGGGGGGGGGGGCAAGACACACGCGTGCGGGCGTGGGTGGGGAGGTCCCGTGCGATGCAACACTCCCCCCCCCCCCCCCCCCCCCCCACGGGAATGCCGCACGGAGCGACGGGGATGCCGCACGGAGCGGCGCCTCTACAGGGCCCACGCACTCGGCGACGGCCGCTACTTTGGCCCTCGACCTTTGGTTATGGTTAGCAATTGCTACCTTTAGGTCACAACTATTTTTAGTAACGCCTATTTTTAGGGATTGCTACTTTTAGTTAACACTGCTGCTTTTAGAAAACGGCCGTTTTCAGGAATGGCCAGCGATCTTGACGGCTGGATGTTTCGCAGCGAGTTCTCTCGCGGGCCCACAATCTTTCCCGCTGCAGTCACCGTCACGGGCAGCCATTTCGGCTCGGGTTGTTGGCTGGCCTTCTATGGCGGCGTTTACGATGGATGGGGCGCCGGTTTGCCCTAAGATCGACCGTCTTCGGGGCTTGACGTCTCTGTTTACGACCGGCCGCCTGACGGCCGGGCCGCGGTGACCTCTCTCGGTGTCGACGGCGCGACGCTTGCGCCGCGGGCAAGGCCAAGAGCGCCTCGATGGCGCTCTGGCGGCCGCCACGCTCACCACGTGCGGGTGAGCGTGGCGAGCGTGGCGGCGGAGGAGGGGGGTGGCAAGCGTGAGTGGCGGTGTTAATAATGGAGGTGAAACAGAATTTAAACAATAAATGCACTCGCAAACGTGGAAGGGTGTTTATTAAAGTGACCTCACGCGATACAAAACAAAAAAAAATGGTGGCGTCACTTAAAAAATGACAGTTAGTTTCACAGCTGCACACCCGTGCACACGTAAATTCTGCATAAATAATAACGGTGAACACACAGACCGCGTCGCGCGCTCGTACGAGGGGAATGCACGAGATTATTGCTCTCGGGTAATAACTTTGACGGCTTGGAAGATTGACCGCACGCGGAGCGTTAGCCGACGCTTGTCACGAGAGAAATACAAAATATATTTTTGGGTTTTATTATTTAGTTTAGTTCTTGTTTTTGTACCGAATCGCCTTCCGTATTCTAACGCGCGTGCCGCTCCGCCACCAGACCCGGGGGGGGGGGGGGGGGAGGGGGGCAGCGTCTGCGCGTGGTTCCACCGCCACCGCCACCACGGTGAAAATAAAAATACGGAGCTGGCGCCGCCACCAGGGAGGAGCGGCGGCACGCGAGGCCGAGCTAACGGCCACCGCCAGGAGGACAAAACGGAGAAGGAATGTGTGCGAGAGAGTGCGTGCGTGTGCGAGTGCGTGTGCGAGCGTGCGTGCGAGTGCGCGCGAGTGCGTGGGGGAGCGGCCACGCGTGGCTCAGGGTCGCGGTGCTCGCACAGCCCAGCCCCCCCTACCCCCATCACAGTCATCTGTACTGTACCCCTGCTCCCGCCACCCCCCACCCCATCCCCCCCCAACCCCAACCTGGGATGTGCTCCCTAGCCCCAGCGTGGCCCCTATGCCCTCGACGGCCCCAGGAGGAGGCCGGGCGCTGCGGGCCGCCGTGCTGCTGCCGCCGCCGCTGCAGGCGGCCCTCTAGTACGTGAGCTTGGCCATCTGCTCCTTACCGTCCACTTTAATGGACTTGATTTGTCCATCCTCCTCCACCTCGACGCGCTCCTGCCCGTTCTCCACGATCCTGCGCCACCGCAGCCGCACGCGGAGGCGGGTTAACCAGGTGGGGGTGGGGGGGCTCATGGTTACCCAGACACGGGGACGCAGGAGACGGGGAAACGTTGTGATGGTGTGATGGTGTGATGGTGTGATGTTGCAGGTCGGTGTGATGTGATAATCATTCTTACTTGCGGGTTAACGTGTTGGTGTGATGGCTGTGATGTTGTGATGGTGCTGCATGATGTGACCATGACAATTAGATTACGAATGTTTTATACTTGCAGATGATGATGCTGCGATGTTCATGCGATGGTGATGTGTGTCTTGATTGTGATGGTGACTTGGCATACTTGCGGGAGGTGTGGTGACGGTATTTTGATGATGCGATGTTGAGCCCATGTCTGTCGTGCAGCATACTTGAGAGGGGGTGGTGATGTTACGACGTGGTGATGATGGCGATGTGGCATACTTGAAGGTGGTGTGATGTTGTTAAAATGTGATGACGACGGTGTGATGTGGCGGCTTCTGGTGTGATGAAGTTGTGATGATAATGCTGTGGTGGTGTGGCATAACTGATGACGTCGGTATGATGTGATGATGATGTTGTGATGGCATTATGATGTCATTATAAGATGCTGTGACGTGGCGATGGTGGCGGCGTAGCGTAACTGTGGGTGGTGATGATGCTGCGATAATGTCGTGATGATGTTGTGATAAATACGTTGTGATGGCGTGGTGATGGGTGGCGGCGTTGCATCCTTGCGGGTGGTGATGATGTTGCGATCATTTGTGATGACGATGTTGTGAGGGGACGCGGTGATGGTGGCGTACTTGCGGGTGGTGATCTTGTGGCCGTTGATGAAGCGCGTGGACGTGGACACGGAGCGGAAGGAGCCCGCCGGCTGGGGCCGCTGGGCGCCCGAGAACGACGGGAACGGAGAATACTCGTCGCCCAGCGCCGCCCCGCCAAACGAGCCAAACCCACCGAAGCCTGCGGCACACACACAGTATATACACATACAGCACACACACACACAGTACATACACATACAGCACACACACACACATTACATACACATACAGCACACACACACACAGTACATACACATACAGCACACACACACACATTACATACACATACAGCACACACACACAGTACACACACATACAGCACACACACACAGTACACACACATACAGCACACACACACAGTACATACACATACAGCACACACACACACAGTACATACACATACAGCACACACAGAGTACATACACATACAGTACACACACACAGAGTACATACACATACAGTACACACACAGTACATACACATACAGCACACACACACACAGTACATACACACACAGTACACACACACAGTACATACACATACAGTACACATACACACAGCGCACACACACACAGTGCACACACACACAGTACATACACATACAGCACACACACACACAGTACATACACATACAGCACACACACACACAGTACATACACATACAGCACACACACACAGTACATACAGCACACACACACACAGTACATACACATACAGCACACACACACAGTACATACACATACAGCACACACACACAGTACATACACACACAGCGCACACACACACAGTGCACACACACACAGCGCACACACACACAGTACATACACATACAGCACACACACACACAGTACGCACAAAGTACATATACACAGCACACACACATACAGCACACACACAGCACACACACAGCACACACACAGTACACACACATACAGCGCACACACAGTACATACACACGCAGTACATACCCATACAGCACACACACACAGTACATACACACAGTACACACACGTACAGCACACACACATATAGTACATACACATACAGCACACATACACACAGTACACACACATACAGTACATACACGTACAGCACACACACAGTATATACACATACAGAGCACACACACACGGTACACACACAGTGCACACACATACAGCACACACACAGTACATACACATACAGCACACACACACACACAGTACATACACATACAGCACACACACACACAGCACATACACACACAGCACACACACACACAGCACATACACATACAGCACACACACACAGCACATACACATACAGCACACACACACAGCACATACACATACAGCACACACACACACAGCACATACACATACAGCACACACACAGTACATACACATACAGCACACACAGTACACACAAACACAATACATACACATACACGTATAGTACACACACAGTACATATACATACAGCACACACACAGTACATACACGTACAGCACACACGCAGTACATATACATACAGCACACACACGGTACATACACGTACAGCACACACAAACAGAACACACACACAGTAGATACACATACAGCGCACACACAGTACATACACACACAGCACACACACACAGTACATACACATACAGCACACACACAGTACATACACATACAGCACACACACAGTACATACACATACAGCACACACAGTACACACACATACATCACACACACACTACATGCATACAGCACACACACACAGTACATACACACAGCACACACACAGCACATACACATACAGTACACACACACACACAGCACATACACATACAGCACACACACAGTACATACACATACAGCACACACGCACACACAGTACATACACATACAGCACACAAGCACACACAGTACACACACACACAGTACATGCACATACACGTATAGCACACACACACACACAGTACATATACATACAGCACACACACAGTACATAGACGTACAGCACACACACAGTACATACACATACACATACAGCACACACACACAGTACATACACATACAGCACACACACACAGTACATACACATACAGCACACACACACACACAGTACACACACACAGTACACACATACAGTACACACACACAGTACACACATACATTACACACACAGTACACACACATACATCACACACACAGCACACACACAGCACACACACACAGTACATACACATACAGCACACACAGTACATACACATACAGCACACACATACAGCACACACACACATACAGCACACATACACATACAGCACACACACACAGTACATACACATACAGCACACACGCACACACAGTACACACGCACACACAGTACATACACACACACAGTACATACACATACACGTACAGCACACACACAGTACATACACATACAGCACACACACAGTACATACACGTACAGCAAACACACAGTACATACACATACATGTACAGCACACACAGTACATACACATACAGCACACACACAGTACATACACAAACAGCACACACACAGTACATACACAAACAGCACACAGTACATACACACAGTACATACACATACAGCACACACACAGTACATACACACACACAGCACACACACAGTACATACACGTTGCCCACAAGGTGCCTACACGCACAGCACACACATACAGCACACACACATGTACAGTACATACACGGTGCCTACACACACAGCACACACACGCACAGTACATGCACGGTGCCGACACAGTACAAGTGTGGGTGGGTGGTGTGCGGGTGAGGGAGTAAGCGAGTGGTGTGTGGTTGAGCGGACGAGAGAGCGGCATGCAGGTGAGCGAGTGGGTGAGTGGCGTCGACTCAGCCTTAAATAAGTTCCTGTTGCGATGTGTAAACATCATCAAGAGGGAGACAAAGGCAGCCGGGTTTGGTGTTGTCCACCCACCCCCTCGTCTGCCTTACTGGCCTTCGTAGGTTCTCACTAACGGCACTTGCCTCAAATGTCTGTTCGGGCTATAAGGGGGATCTTTGTCTTTGCAGTTAAATCAGTGTGATGTGCGAGGTGCTGGTAACCACTGCACCTGGCACTATTCCGACCAAACACCACGGTGGAAACACCCAACTCAGCTTTGCTGGAGGCCCCAGGGGGACAGGCGTCTATGGCTGAGCAAGAGTGAACCCCCCTCCACCCCCCTACACCCCCCCCCAACGTGGGGTTCCTCCAGGGACAGGAAACCACTGCGGTTTGCCACGTGGAATGCCTGAACGCTCACTGCAGAGGATGGGATGCCACTCCTCTGTCAGGAGATGGAGCGGCACTGCCTGGACCTCTGTGGAATTCGGGATGTCTGGTGGACTGGTTCTGGCTCCGGTCAACATAAGGAGTGGACAGTCTTCCACTTGGGGCAGGAAACTGCAAAAAAAGGCCAATGGTGCCTTCGATAGGCCAGGGTTCTGGGTTGTTCTTTATGCTTTTGGGGTCCCCGACTCTCTGCTCACAATAATTAAGGGACTTCATCATGATGGTGGGCAGGCCCAGATAAAGTTGTGTGGCCGGGAGTCGGAGCCATTCCCCGCTCACCTTGGGGTGCAACAGGGATATCTCTCCTGGCTCCCACATTATTTTACGTATTTTTAAAACACATATTTCTAGAAACTGTCCATGGGTGTATGAGAGGAATTCCTATCTGGTACAGCTACAATGGGAGACTGTTTGATGCCCAGGTGCGGTCAAGGGATGGATCCCGATTGGTCAACCATGTTATGTATGCCGATGATGGGTAATTGTTGCTCATTCTGAGGAGTTGGAGGCTTTGCTGCTGAACCTGCCTGGTTTTTTCGTGCCAAACGCTCCCCCCCCCCCCTCAACTCCCCATGAATGATGGGGCAGTTACTAAAACTATTTTAATTACCAGATAAAGCTCACCGAGCTAGCCAGAAGCTACCTGGCTACAAATGATAGTGCTAACTGGCTTATCATGTGGAAATTTATAGCAGACAAATACTCAAAGTGCATGTTTCTAAAAGTGGAGGGAAAAGCTGGAAGACCCGGATAAAAATCCACGTAGCCATGGGGAGAACATGCAAACTCCAAATATACAGGATCGAATCCACGACCTCCTGCATACCAGGTGAGGGAGATCACACATCTCACCACCGCGGCACCCTAGTGGGAGGCTGTGGAGAGAGCGTAGACGTTTTTGTACCTGGGTAGTGTGCTTATGACCTGCTCCGGTTTGGCAGCAGAAGCTTCATTCCAAATCAGTGGAATGCCAGGATATTTTATCAGCTGCATAACGCGGTGGAGAAGCTACCTGGTCTGTCCGTCCACACGAACCTCCGGGTCTTTTCGGCCAGAGTTATGCGCTCCCTTCTCCATGCTTGCGAAACGTGGACCTCTCTGAGGCAACACATCTTGTGCCAGTTTGAAACATTCAGGCTGACCTGCCTATGATCCATCCTGGGTTTAACCAGACTGAATTGTGCGAGGAGCTCATAGTTACTTGATATCTGAATATATTCACACCGGTGAGCTCCTCTGGCAGGCGAGAGTACTGGCTGGGTCATAGCCCGCATTGCCCAGTCACCGAATGCCTAAACAGCTTCTGTTGGGCTGGATAGAGGGGGCTAGATGGGCACGGCACGGACGAGAGAAGACACGTACTTATGTAATACACGAGGATGTGGAGCCAACTGGACTTGCCGATGACTGGTACCTCTATGGAAGAGGCTCGTGAAGGATGCTACTGGGCAGCTGGAGGCAGTCACCCTCAATCAACAGCGTAGGGCACAGGAGCGACGCTCTCAACAACGAGCAGAGTGCCGGGCAGCTACAAAGCAGCAAGTTGACACAGTGGGGAGGACAGGTGGTTGAACAGCCAGCCATCGCAGTCAGTCGACCCATGGCACCTGGGTCTGGGTCTTCGACCTCCTACCAGTGGGCCTTGGACACATTAAGTGACCTCAAAGTGCAGCTAGCATGGCACAAGCGCCGTTGTGACATCACCGCCACTTAGTGCTGAATGGCGGTTATTGTTGTTGATCATGTTGTTGTGCGAGTGAGTGCAGATGAGTGGGTGAGCGAGTGGCGTGCGGGTGAGCGAGGGGTGAGCGGGTGGCTGGGCGAGCTCACCGGAGTCGAAGGAGGTGGAGGAGGTGGTGTGGAAGGCTCCGAACGAGGGGAAGGAGAAGAATCCGTGGCTGCGGCTGCGCTCCTGTCCCCGCAAGCGCGGAGCGTCGTGGAAGTCTTCTGTGGGGGTGGGGGGGGGGCATGCGCCCGCGCGAGGAGGGGATGAAGGGGGAGAGGGAGAGAGAGCGCGGGGAGAGCGTCACAGCGGGAGATTTAATCAGAGCTGAGTTTCCATCCCCTTCCTCTTCTCGGGCTACAAGTGGCGTCAGTCAGCGGATTAGCTTTCACCGTCGCGGGCTTCTGATCCGCACTGTGCTCCACCACCCTCGTCACCTCATCAAACTATGAACTAAACTATCTTTTAAATGTGGAGGGAAAAACCGGAGGCCCTGGAAAAAACTTCACGTGATCACGGGGAGAGGAGACGCAAACTCCAAATATACAGGCGTCAGCGTCGGGAGGGAACCCACAACCTCCTGTATACCTGGCTAAGGAGTTAACATTTCCCAACCGTGGCGCCCAATCAACACGCTCCGTGTTTCTCACGAAGACCTCCTCATTAATGCCACCTCCTGCTACCCCCCACCCACGCGTCGCTAGGACAGCGGCCCCCAGACACGGTTACATCCCGAGACGTACAAGTATTATTATGATAGTTCCCGCGGGGCACTGCCTCGCAGGCCCAATCCAAACGGCCGCTTCTAATCGTGACGGCGCATCTCGGGGTGCGCCGCGCGAAAGCGGTCGCACGCAGGTGGGGGGGGGGGGGGAAGAGGAGGCCTGGAGCCGCCACGGCAACGGGAGCGGCAGCGTTCGCGAGTTGAGCCTCCACGTTTCACGCTCAGTCTGTCGTTGTTTACAAACACCGCCACGGCAGCGTGAACGCATCCCCCTCTTTCGGCGAGACCAACGACGGTCAAATAGCGCCGATAAAACCGAGTGCCCCTCATCGCCCCGCGTCTCCCTGCGTGCCCGCTGGCTCCTGCATCCCCCGTGTCCACCCGTCCCCCTGCCTCCCCGCAGACCTCACGTCCCAGCGGGCGCCCACGTCCCTGCTGGCCAGCGCATGATGGCGATGGCCATCTAACCGCCGTGTGGAGTGCCGTGCCAGGCCGGGGCGACTGCCACGGCCGACACTTTGGCCACACTGCGCCGGGGCGCGCCGCTCACCGTAGAATTCGGCGAAGGGATCGCGGCCACCGAAGAACTCTCGGAAGACATCATCCGGGTTGCGGAACGTGAAGTGGAACCCGCCCATGTTGGGGCTGGCTGACCCACCGCCCCCTGCGCGCACACACACACACATGGGCATCGTCAACATCGTCAGCAGTATTGTCAGCATCATCAGCAGGATCAGCAGGATCAGCAACATCGCTTCTCCACTCACAAATCACTTCCACATCTCCTGAGCCAGGGTCGCGCCATCACAGCGGGAGGTGGAATTGGCGTCGCGGATGCGGTCAATGTTTATTTATACTGGAGGGTTGTGTGCGGTGTGTGGTGAGTGTGTAGGCGAGTGCGGTGTGTGGTGAGGGTGTAGGTGAGTGTGGTGTGTGGTGAGTGTGTAGGTGAGTGTGGTGTGTGGTGAGTGTGTAGGTGAGTGTGGTGTGTGGTGAGTGTGTAGGTGAGTGTGGTGTGTGGTGAGTGTGTAGGTGAGTGTGGTGTGTGGTGAGTGTGGTGTGTGGTGAGGGTATAGGTGAGTGTGGTGTGTGGTAAGTGTGTAGGCGAGTGCGGTGTGTGGTGAGGGTGTAGGTGAGTGTGGTGTGTGGTGAGTGTGTAGGCGAGTGCGGTGTGTGGTGAGTGTGTAGGCGAGTGCGGTGTGTGGTGAGTGTGTAGGTGAGTGTGGTGTGTGGTGAGTGTGGTGTGTGGTGAGTGTGGTGTGTGGTGAGTGTGTAGGTGAGTGTGGTGTGTGGTGAGTGTGGTGTGTGGTGAGGGTGTAGGTGAGTGTGGTGTGTGGTGAGTGTGTAGGTGAGTGTGGTGTGTGGTGAGTGTGTAGGTGAGTGTGGTGTGTGGTGAGTGTGTAGGTGAGTGTGGTGTGTGGTGAGTGTGTAGGTGAGTGTGGTGTGTGGCGAGTGTGTAGGTGAGTGTGGTGTGTGGTGAGGGTGTAGGTGAGTGTGGTGTGTGGTGAGTGTGTAGGCGAGTGCGGTGTGTGGTTGAGGGTGTAGGTGAGTGCGGTGTGTGGTGAGTGTGTAGGCGAGTGCGGTGTGTGGTGAGTGTGTAGGTGAGTGTGGTGTGTGGTGAGTGTGTAGGTGAGTGTGGTGTGTGGTGAGTGTGTAGGCGAGTGCGGTGTGTGGTGAGTGTGTAGGTGAGTGTGGTGTGTGGTGAGTGTGGTGTGTGGTGAGTGTGTAGGCGAGTGCGGTGTGTGGTGAGTGTGTAGGTGAGTGTGGTGTGTGGTGAGTGTGTAGGTGAGTGTGGTGTGTGGTGAGTGTGTAGGTGAGTGTGGTGTGTGGCGAGTGTGTAGGTGAGTGTGGTGTGTGGTGAGGGTGTAGGTGAGTGTGGTGTGTGGTGAGGGTGTAGGTGAGTGTGGTGTGTGGTGAGTGTGTAGGCGAGTGCGGTGTGTGGTTGAGGGTGTAGGTGAGTGCGGTGTGTGGTGAGTGTGTAGGCGAGTGCGGTGTGTGGTGAGTGTGTAGGTGAGTGTGGTGTGTGGTGAGTGTGTAGGCGAGTGCGGTGTGTGGTGAGTGTGTAGGTGAGTGTGGTGTGTGGTGAGTGTGGTGTGTGGTGAGTGTGTAGGCGAGTGCGGTGTGTGGTGAGTGTGTAGGCGAGTGCGGTGTGTGGTGAGTGTGTAGGTGAGTGTGGTGTGTGGTGAGGGTGTAGGTGAGTGCGGTGTGTGGTGAGTGTGTAGGCGAGTGCGGTGTGTGGTGAGGGTGTAGGTGAGTGCGGTGTGTGGTGAGTGTGTAGGCGAGTGCGGTGTGTGGTGAGTGTGTAGGCGAGTGCGGTGTGTGGTGAGTGTGTAGGTGAGTGCGGTGTGTGGTGAGTGTGTAGGTGAGTGTGGTGTGTGGTGAGTGTGTAGGTGAGTGTGGTGTGTGGTGAGTGTGTAGGCGAGTGTGGTGTGTGGTGAGTGTGTGGGCGAGTGCTGTGTATGGTGAGGGTGTAGGTGAGTGTGGTGTGTGGTGAGTGTGTAGGCGAGTGCGGTGTGTGGTGAGTGTGTAGGTGAGTGTGGTGTGTGGTGAGTGTGTAGGCGAGTGCGGTGTGTGGTGAGTGTGTAGGTGAGTGTGGTGTGTGGTGAGTGTGGTGTGTGGTGAGTGTGTAGGCGAGTGCGGTGTGTGTTGAGTGTGTAGGCGAGTGCGGTGTGTGGTGAGTGTGTAGGTGAGTGTGGTGTGTGGTGAGGGTGTAGGTGAGTGCGGTGTGTGGTGAGTGTGTAGGCGAGTGCGGTGTGTGGTGAGGGTGTAGGTGAGTGCGGTGTGTGGTGAGTGTGTAGGCGAGTGCGGTGTGTGGTGAGTGTGCAGGCGAGTGCGGTGTGTGGTGAGTGTGTAGGTGAGTGCGGTGTGTGGTGAGTGTGTAGGTGAGTGTGGTGTGTGGTGAGTGTATAGGTGAGTGTGGTGTGTGGTGAGTGTGTAGGTGAGCGCGGTGTGTGGTGAGTGTGTAGGTGAGTGCGGTGTGTGGTGAGGGTGTAGGTGAGTGTGGTGTGCGGTGAGTGTGTAGGTTAGTGCTGTGTGTGGTGAGGGTGTAGGCGAGTGTGGTGTGTGGTGAGTGTGTAGGTGAGTGCTGTGTATGGTGAGGGTGTAGGTGAGTGTGGTGTGTGGTGAGTGTGTAGGTGAGTGTGGTGTGTGGTGAGTGTGTAGGTGAGTGCGGTGTGTGGTGAGTGTGTAGGTGAGTGCGGTGTGTGGTGAGTGTGTAGGTGAGTGTGGTGTGTGGTGAGTGTGGTGTGTGGTGAGTGTGTAGGCGAGTGCGGTGTGTGGTGAGTGTGTAGGCGAGTGCGGTGTGTGGTGAGTGTGTAGGTGAGTGTGGTGTGTGGTGAGGGTGTAGGTGAGTGCGGTGTGTGGTGAGTGTGTAGGCGAGTGCGGTGTGTGGTGAGGGTGTAGGTGAGTGCGGTGTGTGGTAAGTGTGTAGGCGAGTGCGGTGTGTGGTGAGGGTGTAGGTGAGTGCGGTGTGTGGTGAGGGTGTAGGTGAGTGCGGTGTGTGGTGAGTGTGTAGGCGAGTGCGGTGTGTGGTGAGTGTGTAGGTGAGTGTGGTGTGTGGTGAGTGTGTAGGTGAGTGTGGTGTGTGGTGAGTGTGTAGGTGAGTGCGGTGTGTGGTGAGGGTGTAGGTGAGTGTGGTGTGTGGTGAGTGTGTAGGCGAGTGCGGTGTGTGGTGAGTGTGTAGGCGAGTGCGGTGTGTGGTGAGTGTGTAGGCGAGTGCGGTGTGTGGTGAGTGTGTAGGCGAGTGCGGTGTGTGGTGAGTGTGTAGGTGAGTGCGGTGTGTGGTGAGTGTGTAGGTGAGTGTGGTGTGTGGTGAGTGTGTAGGTGAGTGTGGTGTGTGGTGAGTGTGTAGGCGAGTGTGGTGTGTGGTGAGTGTGTGGGCGAGTGCTGTGTATGGTGAGGGTGTAGGTGAGTGTGGTGTGTGGTGAGTGTGTAGGTGAGTGTGGTGTGTGGTGAGTGTGTAGGTGAGTGTGGTGTGTGGTGAGTGTGTAGGTGAGTGTGGTGTGTGGTGAGTGTGTAGGTGAGTGTGTGTGTGGCGAGTGTGTAGGTGAGTGTGGTGTGTGGTGAGGGTGTAGGTGAGTGTGGTGTGTGGTGAGTGTGTAGGCGAGTGCGGTGTGTGGTTGAGGGTGTAGGTGAGTGCGGTGTGTGGTGAGTGTGTAGGCGAGTGCGGTGTGTGGTGAGTGTGTAGGTGAGTGTGGTGTGTGGTGAGTGTGTAGGTGAGTGTGGTGTGTGGTGAGTGTGTAGGCGAGTGCGGTGTGTGGTGAGTGTGTAGGTGAGTGTGGTGTGTGGTGAGTGTGGTGTGTGGTGAGTGTGTAGGCGAGTGCGGTGTGTGGTGAGTGTGTAGGTGAGTGTGGTGTGTGGTGAGTGTGTAGGTGAGTGTGGTGTGTGGTGAGTGTGTAGGTGAGTGTGGTGTGTGGCGAGTGTGTAGGTGAGTGTGGTGTGTGGTGAGGGTGTAGGTGAGTGTGGTGTGTGGTGAGGGTGTAGGTGAGTGTGGTGTGTGGTGAGTGTGTAGGCGAGTGCGGTGTGTGGTTGAGGGTGTAGGTGAGTGCGGTGTGTGGTGAGTGTGTAGGCGAGTGCGGTGTGTGGTGAGTGTGTAGGTGAGTGTGGTGTGTGGTGAGTGTGTAGGCGAGTGCGGTGTGTGGTGAGTGTGTAGGTGAGTGTGGTGTGTGGTGAGTGTGGTGTGTGGTGAGTGTGTAGGCGAGTGCGGTGTGTGGTGAGTGTGTAGGCGAGTGCGGTGTGTGGTGAGTGTGTAGGTGAGTGCGGTGTGTGGTGAGGGTGTAGGTGAGTGCGGTGTGTGGTGAGTGTGTAGGCGAGTGCGGTGTGTGGTGAGGGTGTAGGTGAGTGCGGTGTGTGGTGAGTGTGTAGGCGAGTGCGGTGTGTGGTGAGTGTGTAGGCGAGTGCGGTGTGTGGTGAGTGTGTAGGTGAGTGCGGTGTGTGGTGAGTGTGTAGGTGAGTGTGGTGTGTGGTGAGTGTGTAGGCGAGTGTGGTGTGTGGTGAGTGTGTAGGCGAGTGTGGTGTGTGGTGAGTGTGTGGGCGAGTGCTGTGTATGGTGAGGGTGTAGGTGAGTGTGGTGTGTGGTGAGTGTGTAGGTGAGTGCGGTGTGTGGTGAGTGTGTAGGCGAGTGTGGTGTGTGGTGAGTGTGTAGGCGAGTGCGGTGTGTGGTGAGTGTGTAGGTGAGTGTGGTGTGTGGTGAGTGTGGTGTGTGGTGAGTGTGTAGGCGAGTGCGGTGTGTGTTGAGTGTGTAGGCGAGTGCGGTGTGTGGTGAGTGTGTAGGTGAGTGTGGTGTGTGGTGAGGGTGTAGGTGAGTGCGGTGTGTGGTGAGTGTGTAGGCGAGTGCGGTGTGTGGTGAGGGTGTAGGTGAGTGCGGTGTGTGGTGAGTGTGTAGGCGAGTGCGGTGTGTGGTGAGTGTGCAGGCGAGTGCGGTGTGTGGTGAGTGTGTAGGTGAGTGCGGTGTGTGGTGAGTGTGTAGGTGAGTGTGGTGTGTGGTGAGTGTATAGGTGAGTGTGGTGTGTGGTGAGTGTGTAGGTGAGCGCGGTGTGTGGTGAGTGTGTAGGTGAGTGCGGTGTGTGGTGAGGGTGTAGGTGAGTGTGGTGTGTGGTGAGTGTGTAGGTTAGTGCTGTGTGTGGTGAGGGTGTAGGCGAGTGTGGTGTGTGGTGAGTGTGTAGG